TGTTAAAATCACCAACAATGACTAAACGGTCAAAGTCAATACACACTATAGACACCAGTTCAGTAAAATCATCAAAAAAGCTTGCACAGTATTTGGGTGGTCTATAGATATTTAGGAACAGAGCTCGAGAGGAGCATTTCAGCTGAAGGGCCACATATTCAAAAGAAGCAAAGTCCCCATAAGATGTCTTCCTGCATTGAATGGAATCATTGAACAAAATAGCAACTCCACCCCCTTTCTTATGCATTCTTTCCTGACTCATAAAACTAAAGTTGGGAGGTGTTGATTCGATAAGAACAGCTGCACTGTTGTTTTGTTCAATCCAAGTTTCCGTTAAAAACATAAAATCGAGATTGTGCTCAGTGATAAAATCATTGATTAAAAATGTTTTTCCTGCCAAAGACCTGACATTTAATAAAGCTAGTTTAAGTTTGTTAAATACACTATCAGTAAAACATTTTGTGACAAGCTGTGGCTGACATGGAATCACTGCTAAATTTGATAACCTCACACAAACGTTTGAGCACTTCCTGTTTCTAAGCTGATTTACCGCTCTTAATCTATTACCTATCAACACAGATATCGGCAAAGCTACTGGCAGGCAGGGCCCCGGCATGTGCTGGAAAGAGTTGAGAGTGCCATATGCCCTTGAGCCTGGACCCAGCACATATCAGTAAAAGTTTGTTGCGTTTTGTACACACACATCCTTATCAGGCTTCGGAGACTGCAGATGCTTTCTTGAAGGGATGGGAGGTGGTTGACATAGGCACAGTGATGAAGACGGGGGAGATGGTGCGCGTCTCTGCTTCGGTGATTTTGGTGGGCGTCGTTGAGGGGCGGGGGTAAAGGACATGCTGCCAACCCTGCATCTCGCCTTCATGCGGTCATCGAACTCCAGGGGGGAGGGCGAGGGTGAAAGGGTGAGCGGAGAGTAGAGAGAGCTGGGAGATGAATGAAGAGTATCCTCCAAGGCGTTGACAGGGGGGGTGACGGGCAGTGAAGACTCCTCCATTTGTGTCATAGGTCTCCCATAATCAGAACATTCCTCAGGCGGGTGCAGTGATACTTCTTCAGGGTTTTCTGCGCAATGTGTTGTGTCTTTCTCCTGTTTTGATTCCTCTTGCCGCTTGTCCTTGGCAGAGGGAACAGATTGCTGACGCAGGCAGTTGAATATGTTAGAGATAAACAATTTCACTCCTGACTTGTTCAGGCAAACTCCATCTGCCTTAAAAAGATGTCTGCGATCCCAGAAAAAGTTAAAATTGTCAATAAAATGGACAGAATGGTCAGTGCAGGCAGCTGAAAGCCACATGTTCAATGCAAACAGTCTGCTGAATCTCTCCACTCCTCTTCTGACTGGCGGTAGAGGGCCACTGATGAACACCTCCGCATTTAGAGAGCTGACAGTTTCCAACAGACATTTAAAGTCTTCTTTCAGCGCTTCTGACTGTTGTTTCACAACATCATTTGTTCCAATATGTAGTACCACATTCTTCACAGTCGGATGTTCAGCCCCAATATGCAGGATCTTCTCAGCCAAGTCGGAGACCATATCCTTGGGAAAACAGAGTACTTTGGTGTTGTTCTTACTACACAGACCTTTTACATCTCTTACAGCAGAATCACCCACAATCAGAGTTTCAGGCCCAGCCGTTAGCTTTCCCTCTAGCCTTTTACTTTTGGAGTAGCTATTGGTCCTTACCCTGCTGTGTGAAGAGGACAGGTTATCCAGGTCATCAGAAAGAGATCTCCGGTTCTCGGTCAGCGGAGCGTATCTGTTCTGGATTGGCACACTTGGTGGTTTAGGAGGATTGTTTGTAGTTCTCCCTTTAGCAGCTGTCCACGGCTGTTTCCTAGTATGAATAGGGGTTGAAGAGGCACTCTTCCTGGGTGATAACAATGCAGGCCAGCCGGTCGCATCACAGATTTCAGAGCGCTGGGCTCTGCCTGTTATTCGTTCTCCCAAATCCCATGGAAATGATTTACTCTTAGGCTTTGCACCCAGAGAGTTCCAGGGAGGACTACCACTTGTAGATTTATTACCCAGTACACAGCCCTCCTGTTCCTTGGAAACCTTGTAGCTGCTAACTAGCTGTGAGTTAGCATACCCTTTTCCATTATCTTGCAACACTGGTAAAGTGGTGTTATTCCCACAACATAGTCCATTCACTTCCACGTTAACTTCCAACCGTTACATTTTCATTTCCAACACAGCCATCTTCTGTTGAAGTTTGTGGAAGTCATCTGTAGAGAACGGAGGCATTTTGCTACCAACTAGCTTAAGCTAAATAGCATGCAGTAGCCTACCAGGCTTTAGCTGTTGCTAGGCCACGCTACTGTAAGACTGAGGTCGTCGTAAAAATGTTGAAATATGGCTGAAACCCTCCGTCTATTTACGATGAATAACTGTCCCAGTGATAAGTTAATGTCCAGGAGCCGCTGCTCGAAGTTTTCAGAGAATAAGAATAGGAAAATCAGCATAAAAAGTAAGCAGAGGCAAGAGCAAGCAGAAAAGCGTCTGCACTGTAAGAAAGATAACAGTAGTAAGTCATTTTATTATTATTATTATTATTATCTCATAATAATCATAATAATAATTGTATGAAATAGGCGCCTTTCAAGGCTCTCAATGTTGCTGTGCAAGATAAAATCATGCAAAAGACAATACAAAACACCAGCAAAAAACAAGACAATGCTGTATATTGGTGCACCATAGAGAGTATCCTGACTGGCTGCATCACGGCCTGGTACGGCAGCTGCACCGCCCTCAATCGTAAGGCTTTACAGAGGGTGGTGAAAACTGCACAGAACATCACCAGGACGGAGCTGCCATCCATGGAGGACCTTTACTCCCAGCGGCTCAGGAAGAAATCCCTCCGGATTATAAAAAACCCCCATCACCCCAGCCACACACTGTTCTGTCTGCTGCCGTCTGTCAGGCACTACCGCAGCATCCGGACTAAAACCACCAGACTCAGGGACAGTTTCATCCCACAGGCAATAAGACTGTTAAACACCTGAACTGTTGAAACAACATCCACAATATTCATCTTGCTGCTACTTAAAAATTATTGATCTATTTACCTAATATATCATATTTCAATGAAGACTCTTATTGCACTATTTCACTATTTCACCTTTTTAAACTATTTTTCTTCTTGTATTTACTATTTACTATTTATCTGTTTATCTGTGTTTTGTGTTGCACTGTTGGAGAAGCCTGTGACACAAGATTTTCATCGACATAACTACACTGTAGCTATGTTCGTTTGAAAAATAAAGAACCTTGAACCTTGAACCTGGAACCTATAATCAATCAAAACGGAAGATGTGTGATGAATTGTGATCAGGGTGGATATGCCAGTCAGAAGAGATATGTTTTGAAACCTGTTTTGAAAGATGGGGAGAGTCAATATTACGGATATCAGGTGGAAGGGGGTTCCAGAGGCGGGATGCAGAGCGGCTGAAGGCTCTGGATCCCATGGTGGTTAAGCAGAAGGGTGCAGCAGTGAGGTGGAAGGAAGCAGGAGACCTAAGAGTGCAGGTGGGTGGGTTCAGGGGTGTAGTGCTGCTGGAGCGCACCGGAGCTAGCTAGCAAGCTTGGCTCTTTGTGTGTGTGGGAGTGAGTGAGCAAGCGAGAGAGAGAGAGAGAGCGAAGAGTTCTTTCCTGTTAGAATCCGACTGAGAGGCTCTTCTCAGATAACTACAGCTCAGAGTCAGACTGAGAGGATCTTCTTCAGATAACTAAAGCTCAGTTGATGTACAGTAAAGGAAGCTCTGAATGTTTAGCTAATTAATTTTAGTCTAAGTTATCTCAGTGGGTCACCAACATTTTGTTCACGATTTATGTAAACAAGTATTTCCAAGGCACAAGATGATGATCATTATAGGTCTAAAAGAAATAAGATAATAAATGAAATATTGATAATAAAATATTCCAATTCATGCTATAGGAAAGTAAAACAAAAGTACAGCTTAAAAAGGGAGTGATTTGTAAAATATGTTTAGCCGACCGTAAAAGCAAACCAACTGTCTGCCAGTGCATGCTCTCGGACCCCCCTAGAGGATGTTAGGTCTACCCCCACTTAAAACGTGTTCCTATGAATAGGATACTAAATGTGTGAGTCATAGGTGCGCTCTGGTACTTAAAAATAGCACTACACCCCTGGGTTTGTTGATGTGCAGGAGGTCAAAGAGGTACAGAGGAGTGAGTTTGTGGATAGACTTAAAGGTGAGGAGCAGAATCTTAAAACAAAAACCTGTCTCGAGACCATTTTTTAAAGGTCTTGGTCTTATCTCGTAATCAACTGCATTTGTTCTCCATCTTGTCTCAGTCTCGGACCTATAAGACTCGAGATTTTATGTCAAGATCGGTCAAGACCACTGCTGTGGCTGGGGATGTGATTGGATGTAAAACTCCCTGTTTCAAATGCAGCCAATAACGTGACTTCACAGACTTACTTTCAAGCACTCATGAGACTCAAAATATTTGCACTTATTCGCTGCAATGTTTGTAAACATGGGACTGGTTTATAACGGCTGCTACCCTCTCACCTCTCCCCGACCCGTTCACACACACTCAAACGGTCTGTGAAGATGTCGGGAAATTAAACAATAATTCGATTTGGATAAACAAACCACAAAAATGTCAGTTGCCCACCAACACTCAAGTAAAAACAGTCGGCAGTGTGTAAATACTGTAATGTGACCCTCATTGTGAGGATCCACAGTGCGGCCTTCCTCTTTTTTCCTCTGTTGTTGTCTGTCTGTCTTCCTGGCTGGGCGTGGCTGACCTACATTTGGATTTCCGTCTCCACACCGCTCCAGCTGTTGATCATCTCGCTGATTGCCACTACTCACCTGCACCTGCTTAAAACCCTGGTTCTCATCCTCAGTCTTCGCCAGTTCTTCGTTTATTCTTCAGTGGTAAACTAACGTCCAGGCCTACTTAGCATTTTTTGCCTAGTAAACTTTTTGATGTTCCTAGTGAGAGGATTTACCTTCCTAACCCTGCTTCTTTCCTGTTTCCAGATCCACACACCTCCTCCGCCTGCCACGTCCAGCCACCTCCCTGGTCTGTCCTGCTCCTCGTCTCCCCTCTCTGAGTTCCTCGTCCCGGTCTGAACCTCGGTTCCAGGATTCCCCTTCAGCGTCCTCTGCAACTCCTTGACTGTGCCGTGGTCTAAATAAAGCCCATTTTTGACACTTCACCACAGTTTCAGTCTAAGTGCTTGCATAGTGGGTTCTCATCTCCAGTCATTCCACGTGAAGCCTAACACTCACAGAAACGGCTGGGACTATGTCCAACTTTTCCAGACACTTTCCATCACCATGTTTTATATTAAGATATTACTAATTTGCTGTTTTTAAATGAAAATAATTACTTTTTGAATAAATATGATGAAGTTTAATTGACATCTTACGTTTGAATGTGGGTTTTTTTATGATGATGTGGATCTTTCAGATCAAATTGACTATGGTATCTTCCATATTTTATTGTAAGGCTGAACTCTCTCCCCTCCCTCCCCCTCTCCCCCCCTCTCCCCCCCTCTCCCCCCTGCCCCCACTGGACTATAACACTGAAAACACTGAAATTCAGCACCAGACACTTTTTACGCTGCTATGGACAATCTTGCTATAATGCACATATGGACAATCTGCACTAATGTACATTCTCATAATATTGAAGCTATTGTTATTTTGTACATATTGATTGTTGTGTTTTTATTTAAGTCTTAATGTGTGCACATGTAAAAATGTGTCTTTGAATCTGTGTATATATATACATATTTGCACACATATTTTTATATACATTTGTTTTTATATTCGGGATTGTGGGAAACGGTATTTCGATCTCTCTGTCTGTACACCAGTGGCGAACCGTCAGGGCCTTCAAGGGCCGGCGGCGGCGGCGGGGGGGTTTGTGTGTGTCTACAGAAGGTCCAGTTGTGATAGACACGGTTCGCCACTGCTGTACACACAAACTGGAAGATTGACAATAAGGTTGACTTTGACTTTGAAGTGTATTGGATTCAAACTAGACGGGTTCCTGTCTTGACTTGGTCTTGCCCTGCTTTGGTCTTGATCTTGAGTTGGTTTCGACCTCTTAAAGTCTGGGTCTTGTCTTGGTCTTGGTCAGAGATGGGGTCGTTACTAAAAAAAAGTAATATATTACACTACTTCGTTACTCGCTACATAAAGTAACTCGTTACTTTACTCGTTGCTTTACTCGTTAATTTACTCGCAGGGCCGGCCCGGCTGACTCAGCCATGTTTATGCAGCACTGCACGTGGAGATGTGGACGCGCAGGTCGCGCAGATTATGTACATATAAACCTGTGGCGGAAACCCCTCTTGTCTGTCAGTGTGATTATGACTGATTTTATAAAAGTAACGAAGTAACGCGTGTCGGGGCAATGTTAGTAACTGTAGTGTGATTACTGAATTATAAAAGTAATGCGTTACACTACTCCGTTACCGACAAAAGTAATATTATTACAGTAACGCGTTACACCCAACTCTGGTCTTGGTACACTCCGGTCTTGGTCATGACTTGGTCTTGGTTACGGTGGTCACTCTTGACTACAACATTAGTCAATGGGTCTCACTTAATTAAAACGCATCACATGGAGAGGAAGCCAAACTCTTCACTTCAAACTGAATGCACAAAACCCACACAGACACAAACATTCAGTTAGATGTTTGCCTAGAAATGTTGTGAAGGCCATATCTCCTCCACGAGGAAGGGAGATTTTCCTTTCACAAAACTCTCAATAAACATTGTGAAGTCACTATACCAAGCCTTAAAGAAAAAACTGTTCAGAGTAACCGTTTGATTTCTGAACCAATTTAAAAACATGTGAAATATGTACTCGTCAAGAGCAAGAGGGCATTATCTTCAACTTTTGTCTGACCATCCTTAAACTTTTGCATGTCTCTGCACTGTCTCTCTGCATTTCTCACATATCATTCTCCATGTCATACCTGTTGGTCTTGTGCTGATATCTCTGATGTCCAGGAGTGTGTTTAGAACTCTCTGGCTTTTCTACACTTTATTCTTGTTTCTTTTTTTTTACTATGGATAATTCAGTCCTCATGTAAAAATAATTTGCAAAAAGTATTGCATTGTGTGTTCTGATGGATTACTGGAAAAACTAAAGTGTTTTTTTGGCTACAGCTGTTTTTATATTGACAAGACTTCTTTCTGCAGGTTGAAATAATTGAAAGTGGTCCTACAGCAACATCAGAGCATCTTTAGCAACATTCTGTTGTTCAATATTGTTAACAAATATGAACAGACATAAAATATTGAAATTGACCATTTACAATAGAGTGTTCAACTTACTGTAGCTGTGAAATAAGGAGACCTGTAATGTTTCTCAAATTGATTTCAAAATAATATAAATAACGTTTCATTTTGATGGGCTCTCTTTTGGGTACACACTCTTTTTAACGCAGGGGTTTAATAACAGTGTATTTGTACTCTTTTAATCCTAATATTCCCAAAAAGGTAGGGGGTGATATTGAACATTAATTCACATTTCTTTTGAAGATTCTCAGGAAATGAGAAAATGACATCAGTACAATCACCAGTTAATGAAACAAGCAGAGGACATTGTTGCATTAGGTTTTTATTGCAGGACCTCTGTAAGCTTTAGTGTTGTAGTACAGAATGACAAATAACTATTACGACAGACTGGTGTCATACAGAACTTAGCAGGATACATACGTTTATTGATTAAAAGTTAAAGCCAATCAGAAGAGTCAATCAATCGTTGAAACCTTGATGTCATCGAGGCCCGACATCCTGATGGAAGTGACATCCTGAATGAAGACTTAACATCTTTATCCCAGGGGAGATGAGTTGGCAGAACAAACAAACGATTTCTTCCCAGAACACACCGAGTCGTTGACGTAGTCAGATTCTGTATGTTGAAAACAATCAAAAACAGCACAAACACTTAATTAATGTATCTAGTAACATTGTTAGTATGACTAAAGAGGATAAAGAACAAATAATAGTTTTTTTACCTCTAAAGTTAATCTCCATACAGTTTTCCTTTCCTTGACCATTTGGCTCCCCCTTTGCCCAGCCGCCAAATTTAAAATTAGAGCCATCGCTCCACAGCCACACACCGTCCTGAAAGAAAAAGGATTATCAGTCAGTGTACGCATTTTCACAAAAAACGTTTTACTTACTCTAAGGCTGAACCAGAGCATACAATTGTGCGAATTCTCACAATGCCGTTTCAGCTTTATTTTATTTAAACAAATTGACTAGCAGACATGAATCTCACCTTGACAGCATCACTGCTTCCAACCCAAGAAAGTTTATTTTTGCCTGTTGCCGTTTTCACCAACTGTCTGATGAATAGGTATTCAACGTGCGTTTCGATGGAAGCCAGATTACCACCCAGGGCAGTGCAAGATTTCTACGGAGGGGAAACAAAGTCAGTGAAAGTATGGACAGGCAAACAATGTTTGTTTTGATCTGTTTCAGAGAATAAGCCAAGATTTAGTGTTCCAGTTACTGTGTTATTGTTGTAATTGTATAAAGTACCTCAGCAATAGCCCATTCCTTTTCCTCATAGTTGAAGATGAAACAGCGAGAGCCAAGCAGAGACCAACCTTGGGGGCAACCTACAACACAATTGTAAAAAAAAACAGACTTAACAAAATACTAATGGGCCTTAGATTAGATATACTTTCTTTGCTACATTATACAGTATATGGACATATATGAATTATGTTTTCAAATGCACTTTTACTGTTGGTCTTAAACTGAGGAGTGCAGTTCTCTATGCTTGAGCTCGTAAATATGAACTTAGAATGCAACCAAAGCAATGAAAGCCTACAAATGCTGTCCAGTAGGATGTACCAACCTTTTCCTATGGGACAACTTGCCTGTGAATGTAAAGAACGCATTATTAGGAATGAACAGATCCTGATTCATGGTTGAGCCTCAGATTGAAATCACTACAACAACACTAGAAGCATTGCCCAAAATGTCATTATACCAATTCATTCTTTACTTAAACTCCCTGCAGTATCTGTGTTCAAACGCACTTTGTGAATGTAAGCTATGGGGGCTGAACACGTTCTTATCATGAGACTTGAGTCCCCGTCCCCATTGATTATTACATCACTTTACATTGTCTCATTGTCAATTAAGAGACTACTACTGTGCAATCATAATGATAATATTTCAAAATACTAATGTTGCAGGTGATGGAACAATGATATTATTTTTAAGTCATTACCACTGTATTATCCATAGCTAAGCATAACTTATATCACTTACGTCTGCCTCCATCCACAGTCCACCGGTCAAACAAAGGAGCACAATGCAGTGGAAAACTGACGCCATCTATGTAAAGAACAGCGATGTTAACAAGTTAAATGTAATAGAGTTAGTTGACAACACTTCATAATTTTTTCGTCCTTGACATATTACAAATATATATATATGAACACAAGGACTATAGTCTTGTTTGACAGTTATTATTGTTAAAATAAACTAAGAAACTGAACCTTTACCTTGCTGTGATGATCAGATGAAGTTGTACAGCTGTAGCAGTGTGATGAGTTGTGTAATGGTCTTGGAAGAGAAGCACTCTTTATATACCTTATCTAGAATATATACAAACACTTGATTGTCATCACCTCATCTTTGGTGCCATTTCAAATATCACAAATTACATATTGACATATCCTGGATTATATATTTGACCTTTTCATAAAAAGGTTAAAATAAGTTGTCTACAATGTGCTGCACACAGCACATGGTGAAAATACAAACAAGGGTGTTAACTGTATAGCTACTGCTGATGACAGATGCTGTGGGAACATTTCAACTCGTGGACCAGGTTAACTGTAGCCTGAGTGAAAATAATTGTGGGAAAGTTGCTAAGTTATAATTGTTTTGTACTGTACTAAACAGCCTCAGAGTCGAACCCTAGCATCATTCTTTTAAAGCTGTAAACAGCCTATAAGCTCTGCCTCACAGTGAGGGAATGGACTCTGAACACTTTTTATTTAAAAT